AGTGCATTAGTCATGTGTCCACTTCTGTACAAAGAAATCCTTATATTGCTCGCTCATCTCAAGGAAGTTAGAGGACATAATCTCTTCATAAGCACTTTCACCTAAACAACAGTAACCAGTCCTAATAGGCTACACATTGGTGAGGAAAACAAAATTACAGTCTAAGAAGGGAACAAAATAAGTTTATCACCAAATGAGGTATTTTGCTTGATGAAGCATAACTCTTAACTGTCACATATACAGTATGTGTTTGTTTACCCATGCATCGCTGTATGTGTTTGGAAAAAAGCACTAAAGCACAACCTTAAACCTCCAACACGCCACAGGCACAGACAGAGCTGTGCTGACAGACGAACAACGTGCACATTCCAACGTACAGTCTTGTCTGGAAACCTGCCTGCTGTGAGATACCAACAGCAGCATAACAAAAAGTAGTTCCACAGGACTGTTGAGTTTGTTTTTTTTTCTTTTGACAAATTGTAGCAAAGGCAGGTGAAGGTCTTTCTGTGTCAAATTCATCAGATATTTTTGAGAAAATAATCCACAACTGTCTGCCTCTGGTCAAATTTAATCCAAAAAGACACTGTAAATACAAACATGTTTTAACAATTCCGTTGAACTTTTAATTTTCTGTCGCAAAGAAATGTTCAGATGCTGATTTGGGGATTGTTATTAGGAGCCAGAAGAGAATGAAAATAGGGCAGAATTTAATAAACAACAGTTAGATCCTCTTTGACCCTGGAGCTTGACACCTGCTAAAACAATTTGCTGAACTTTTGCAAATCTACAGCAGTGTCTTTATAGTTTACTTTCTATTATTTCTGTTAGTACTCCACCCATCTCTTCATGCATTTTTTCTGTTAGTACTCCACCCATCTCTTCATGCATTTTGACAGTGCATGAGGCTACTTATAGTGTTTCCCATCTCAGAAACGGGGTAATCTTTTACAGATAAAAGATATTTTAAAAAGTGCTTCTGTCCTATATGTGACAATTATGCAAAGTTTAGTTTGCATATGAAACTGAATGTTTGCAATAAGCAACAACCCCAAAACAAAAAACAAAGAAAAAGCAGGATTTTTTTTGTCATAATAATCAAATACTATCTGTTATGCACTAATTAGGGCTCTGGGGCAGGTGGAGCACCTAATTAGCTAAACCATTCAGTTTGGATCCCTTGTACATGTTTTAAAGCTCTGATTTCTACCTCTCTCAGTCGAGGCAGGGAACCAGTGGCCTTTGTGCCCAAATCAAAGCACAAAGACTATGAATAGTGATTTCTCTGGTTCACCTCCTCACCAGTGCTGGCTGAGAGGTCTCCCCCCTGAGACTTTCCTCTTTGACCCCAACAAATGGACTCTTGTCAACTGAATAAAAAAAGGAGTGATTGGCCTTTAGTGACGCCTGGTGTTCAGGCAATGGATGTTTGATCAGTATTCACAATGACAAAGGATCTTATGGAGAAACTGGTGGAACTCAGCACTCAGTGGGAAGTCTTGTGATTTGACATCAGCATTACAAGCTCTGGACAGTGAGGAGATTCATTTTATAGCTGAATGTATCAGTAACAAATTGTAGTTTTTATTTACTTATTACTTGATTTTCATGAGAACTAGAGCCTTACAAAACATCTTCATCCTTTTCAAATGGCATAACGTAATGAAATAGTCTGAGAGAAAGCATGAAGACATGAGTAGTGATTGTCACTGTCATGTGGTAATTAGGTATTCTGGATCTCTAGAAGGGCAGGAGCTTTTCGGGAGTGTGCTGATGAGTTTTATTTAGCCCACAAGAGCCCCTGATATCCTGCTCAGTGGCCCAGTGAGGCCGCTTGACGAGGACAGTGAGAAAATGTACGTTGTTGCGTCCATCTATGAGCCCAGATGGACTCTGCAGCCTGCTCCAATCAGCTCACAAAGGTGATATAATTGCCAGGGCAGGATGGGATAAGGCCACCGCCTTTGGAGTTCCTTAGTCTCCTCCTTTTCCCATTGCACCTATTCTCTCCCACTCTATACTCACTGATTATACTCCACTCCCTCATTGTCCTATTATCCCCCTCCAACAACAGGCCAATTTGTCCCTCCAGCCTGCCTCTCGCCTACCCTCCTGCTGCGTTATTTAGCCCCTCTTCTACACTTCAATGGTAGGTACTGATTAGAAAACTTCCATGACCTCTTTGCTATTCCTCAAAAATCCCCCCTCCCCTTCCCAGCAACCTTTAATCTGATTACAGGCTTTCTGCAGCTTTTCAGAGGAGGCCAGTCCCAGGAGGACAATAGCAGACCAAGTGGTTTCACAAACACTCTCCCCAGGATCATAGGATTCACAAGAGGAGCTGCATCCACACTCCTCAGGCATCAGGTCCTAGCAAGGCCTTTTTACATTGCAATTAAAGAGAAAAATCTTTATTACAGTGGGTCTTTCTCTCACCTCTGGGACCATGTCAAAAAACTTTTACAGTTATTGGAAAGACTGGATTCAAGCAAAGATCCCTAACATCTATTTGTCTGCCTATCCTATAGAGAAGAACTGAAGAAGACTGAAGCACACTGATCAATTTAATGCATTTAATACTGCTACATCAAACCTGCCAAAGTCTGAGGACTATGGTGTTTTGGTGAACAAATTTTGACTCTTATTATCAGTGCGCCGCAGTCTTGTTCTCCTTCTAAAGTTTGTTAGTTTTGTCCTGTTCCCTTTGTCTGTTGGGTTAGGGGTTTAAAACCATCAAACATGTTTGAAGGAAAGATGTTCTTCTAATGCGAAAGTAATGTACCATGCAAAGGTTTTTAAAAAAAAAGTCAATTTCTACATTTGTTATTAGTGTAATGAAACTGGCAAGCACACTTGTGACATTCTTTCTACAACTGAAACCAAATATTGTTTGAATAAATAGTTAAAAAGTACTGTTGCAGGTGTTCCGATGTGTTGCACGTGTACGGGTAGGTTGCTTTGCTTTCACTCCTCATCTGGAAAGTCTGGACACTGTGCTGCCATTGCATCATTTGAAGCTAACCATCTTGTTCTTTTTTTGACTCATTATCTGGCTGTAGGATGAAACCCTGTAAAGGTCAGGCTTTTTTTGTTAATGTCTTTTTCCAGATAAAATGGTAGTAATACAATCTTTTCCAACACTGCCTTTGTCCAGATAAAATTTGTTGTTTTAAGTCATCAACAAAGTTTGGTACATCTATAGGAAATGTTTGCATCAAGTTTCAAGGTTTTCATTTACTTTCACTGCTGCACAAAAGATGGATGTTATCCTGTTATTGGATCCATGAAAAAGGCCTGTTTTATATTAAATTTACACACATTTATAGTTCTGGTGGCTTTTGATTTGTTGCAGTTTACTTCTTAGCTAGGTTATTCACTAGACTTGAGCTACTTATAGAAACTGAAAAAACTGGGGTGTTCGAAAAACACATGTAAATGATGTTGGCTCCTTCATATCTTTCAGAACTCTTACACTCATACACCCCAGGTAGATCTCTGAGATCTTCTAATGTTATGGAACAGCCTTCCCTTAGATATTCGGTCAGCACTTGACTTGGTGTTGTTTCACTCTTTCTTGAAAACTCACTTACACAGGCAAGCATTCCTCACTGAGTAGCTGATGCCCCTTTTAAATATGTTTTATGCTTTTTGTTAATTTTATTTTGCTGAGTTTGTCTTTTATTACAATGCAGTTTGGCTTTATTGTGAAGTACTTTGTAACTTTGGTTTAGAAAAGTGTTATATAAATAAATGTTGCTTGCTTGTTTCGTTGTACTACAAACAGAATCTGAGGTATTTCACCCCAGCAGTGATTTAGCAAATAATCCCACCCTTAAGTTGCTTAACCCTGGCCATTTTAGAGACCTCTTCACTCAATAAAGATCGTGCCCAGCCAACATGATAAGACCAACACAAAGCACGTGTCCACTCAGTGTATTTAGAGTTCATTAATGTCACAGTGATTGGTCAGGAAATGAGGCTATTGACCGGCTAGTCCAGGCCTCATTACCATTACAATAGAGGGAGCAGGGAGATCAGAGCCCTGGAGGCAACAAGCAGTGTCCTGAAGGAGGTGCACACCTGCTGGATGTCTCCTGGCTCCCAGTTGACTGTCCATACTCACACCTTCAAGTTAAGTCAAAAGGAAGCTGTGGACAGGTGTTGTAGCTATGAAGACATTTCTCAGTTTATTAAGGATCTTCATCTGTTTTGCCAACTGATTCAAATTCAAGAAAAATGTATGTCTAGTTTCCAAACTAATATTGTCTAAATTTTAACTCAACTAAAGGATTGTCTATTTAAATGAAAGGTGGCTAATACAATATGTTGTGTTGTCAGTAATTCAAATCCATCTCTTTTTTTTAAAGTTGGGATTATTTTTATGCAAATACTGTAAGTGAATCCAGTAGGTCCAGTAGGTGTCCTTGAGATTCTCCTAATTTTAAAATGCATGTCTGACTAACACTTACAACTGTGCATCCTAAAATTACTTCTGGAAAAACTTCACAAACTAGTCAGGGGGTTAGAGCCTTCGTCCAGCTTTGTAGCAGTTACCTTTTTTACCTCATAGCCCCACCTTGTGGAGTACAGGGGAAATTATAAACTCAAAATTGGCCGGGTTATATTTGTATAGCTGTGTCAAAATGATCAATGATGCAGACGAGATGTTTATCCAGTGATCAGCTACAGATGCTTTCACCAAGCAGTTTACAGTCTGTCCAGTTTAACCCTCTTCTCTGCACTGATCATCCATCCATTCTTCCCGCTCTAACATTTTCACACACACATATACACACATACTTGTACTTCTATCTTTGTGAAAACACTCACTGGTATAATGTCATCAGAACCAAATTTCATAACCCTAACCCTAACCTAAACCAAATTCTAATCTGAACCCCAAGTCTTTCACAGGTGTTTCACAAAGTGAGGAATTTCCAAAAATGTCTTCATTCTGTAGCAAAACATATTTTATGTGTTGCCTTGTAAGACTGTCGGCAAAAGATAATAATACAACTTTATTGTTTAATTTTACTTACACTTTGTGTATAAACCTGGACAACAGTCAACATTACAGCAACCAGGTTGTACTATAGATATGTAGTTACTACATCTCAAGAACAAGTAAGTTGAGCAACAAATGAGTAAAAAAAAAATCTAATCATTTCTACACACAACTTACAGTGCAAACACCTATACAGAATTTGACAGAAATAACTAAGACACACACAATTCAAAAAGTTCCTAGGTTGGCAGCACAAATGCCTTTGATTCCCTAATGCTTTCTTTTTGCATGTACAACACAGTACAGTGCTTCCACACAACTTCACTGAAAAAGAAATACAATATTAAACATTATCCATGGCAATATTAAGGAATGCATTAAATGAAAGAATTCATAGTTTTGTATAGTGCTTTAAAAAGAGCTATTTTATCTAACTGATGTACGTAAATATGAACGTATTTCCAAACGTGTGAAAAGAGCTCTCGGTTCTTCTATGCATTATAATTAGCTTACACAACATAAACAGAAACACAAGTTGTTTGTGCCTCATCTTACTGCTTGGATTCAATATCTGGCATTTTCCACTCAAAAAACATCTGCAAATTAAAGTGTACACATGTTTCTCCAAAATAACATAGAACATAAACATATAGTGTGTTAAAACTTCCTTCAGGAGTAATACCAGCCTTTATTCTGAATTATTTCTCCACAGATGAGATGTTTGGTCTTCATTCTGTGCAGTGCTGTCATCACTTTAAGATTCTAATAGGAGGCAAAGGTGCTAAACAAATTCCTCAAGTATAAATTGTGCATGTCAAAAATGTTCGTTTCTTGTAGGGTTGCCCATTTTTGAGTGCACTGCCTTCATAAACAAATGTTTCACAGCTGCAACAAGTCTAAGCTCCCACTGTGCATATCTAACATTGCTCTATATTGAAGCTTGATGCAGATCTGTGGAACAAAAAAGGAGAAATTCACATTAAATGAGAAATTCATGCGAGAGCAGAGTACATGTGTATGTGTGATGGTGCTTACAATTCTTGCTGCTTGTGCCTCATGTGGTTGTTGTACTCCAAAACAGGAGGGATGGTCTCCTCATCCTCAGGAACCTGAAACCGACACATGGGGTAAAAACTGGAGCCAGAAACTCAGCAATAAGTGAGTGCAAAACTTGCTTTTCCAGTTAGAGGGCAAGAGCACAAGAGCACCATCTGGTGGTAGAAAGGTTCTCTCACCTCCCAGTAAACTTCATCATCAAAGCAGTTGTCATCAGCAGGGTCGCCCCAGATAGGTATTTTCAGGATCAGACCTTTGAAGAGAGAACAAACAGGCATTAAGACAGACTTCTCACCCCAGTTCCTTCATCTTGGCCATAATAATCATTTTTCTTGTTAAAACCTTTTTCACATTTATACTCTTCAGCCTCAGGTTAGTCAGCGTAAAAAGTCCAAGGCAGGTACATTTAGCTGTTCCTGGGCTCCCAAACATTCACTATAGGATTAAAGAAATATGTGGGGTTTTTAAAATTATTTATTAATTTATTGAAGGCATCTGATCATAAGATTTACCCCCATCTTTGTTACATGCACTTCCACAATCCTGACCTATGTCTATTAACTTGTGTTTATGAATAAAGCAGGCCCACCTGGGCACATGACAGGCTGAGAGGGGAGAAGAGCAGTGGTGGCTGCCTTAACCAGCAGCATAGGCCCTGTTCTGTAGTGCACTGTGTATTAGGTCTGTGTTTGGTTAGTCATCAGTGAAGCAGAAAGTCACCAGCAGCAATGTTTTCAGCTTTAGTTCATTAGTTTAAGTGTATTGTTGTTAGGCTGGGGGATGAAGTACAAATCCAACAGCCCATTGTGCAGCATGGTTCAGGGCTTCCTTTTCTTTTGTTTCTTTAGGTCAGGGCTCTGACTCGGTTTTGTAAATAATTTTTGTTATCAAACTCACTTGAATCTTGGCTAAGTGGCATCTTGCACGTGTTAAATGGACTGTAACATCCTCCTAGTAAATAATTTAATTCTTCTTAATGGTAACTCCCAGAAACACTGGTGCTGATATTTTCAGCATCACTGACTCTTATTTTATCTGTTTTTTTTTTCATATTTTGGATGAAGACTTGCCATTTAAAGAGTGTATGTGGAGTTCTTTAAAAACACTGTAAATCCTTTTCAAAGTGTTCTAGAAATAATATTATTACTTTCTTTTGGAACAGACTGCTTGATAAGGAAATATTACTTTTGCCCTGATAGTACAACAATACATTTTTCAAACTCACCAACAATTCCTCCTCCAACAAGACCAAATGCAATTGCCACACATGTGCCAGCAGCCTGGTAGCCTCCCTGTGTACCAGGAGATCTGTTTGCAAAGCTGCCTTCAAGTCCCAGTGTGCTGCTCAACCTGGGCAGGAAAAAAATGATACATTTACATATAAAACTGAAGCAGAAAGTGGAAATGCTTTTGTGAATGAAAGCACTCTTAGTGCTTTTGTCTTAGTCACTTACCCCTCTTTGCCGTAAACAGATTCAGAGGCCGTTGCAGCAACAATGGCACCTACAAAGCCACCGAGCATCCCCGGCACAGCGTGAAGGTTGTGGATACCACACGTGTCCTGGAGCTTGAGCTTGCTCTCCAAGAAAGGCTGAGAGTGAGAAAAGCAGTCACTCATTAATTACTGATCTAGCAACAATATGGCCGACAACACATATAACTTTTCATGTTAATTACATTTTTTTTTTAGTTTCAACACTTTTTCACTTAACTATTAAAATAAGTCTTCTATAAATTATGGATACCCACACCATGTACTACATTCATTTTTATAGCATTCTCCACAAAACTGAAAGTAAATTCTTATACTATAAATATATAAAATTCCTCTATTTTAATTCACTATTTGGTGAAGCCACCTAACATAAGGTCACTTGCTCTAAAAACTATTTTTTTTAAAAAAAAAACAGTCTTTAAAGATTCACAAAGTCAAATTTATGTGTAATAATGAAATATAAAACCCTCCTCAGGTTGTTAAAAGTACTGTACTGATGACTTTAGTCTCCAGAGCATTCACTATTTATCTAGATTCCCATTTCGCTCTAGTTAAACCTTTTTCAAGGTGCCTTATTACATAACCCATTATTTATTTTACAAACATCCTTCCACTAACAATAAAAGAACGGCTGGTGCTTTGAACGTTATGCTCAGAGCCACCAACACCCATGTATAAACATGCTGAGTTGAGTCACGACACCTCGCTTCACTTCACTGGTCTGTTCATGCCTTACATTAAAACTTGAACAGGCTTAAGAAGTGCTCTTAAAATGAATCATTTGCTTTTATAAGTTTGTTGTTATTCTCCTGTCAAACAGCCAACAACTGATTTCATTTTGTCTGATTTTCACCCATCCTTCATTAATCTTCTTTTTATTTTCTGTCTGCAGTGGCGACACCATAGCACAGAGCCCCAGACCAACAACCGGGAGGTGAAGGAGGCTCACCGTGACAAACAAGTAGCCAAAGGTGGAGATGATTCCACAGCAGAAACCCACAATGAGAGAACCATAAGGAGTGATCATGAACTCTCCTGATGTTCCCATGGCCACACCACCTGCCAGAGTGGCATTCTGGATGTGCACCTGTCAGGTAAAACAGCATGTTAGTCATGAGCAATTGAGAAATACGTAAATGCTGCATGGCTGGTTGTAGAGTTATTAGATAACTGAGGAGAGTTTACAAGTGCTTTGTGTGTGTTTTTCAGTAATTTAGCATTACCATGTCCAGTTTTCCTGTCTTCTGGGACATGCTGGAGATGGCCACAGCGGTGAGAACAGAGGCAGCGAGGGACAAGTATGTGTTCAGGGCGGCTCTGTGCTGTCCATCGCCATGGTTTGCAATGGCTGAATTGAAACTGGGCCAAAACATCCACAGGAACAGTGTGCCTGTGAAGTGAGAGTAAATCATTCAGACCAAAAATTAAAACTAAAATTTTAGATATGCCAAATGAACTGTGTCTAAAGAAATACAGACATGTGACATTTAAAGGTATAAGATATAACTTGCCAGTGGTCACTCACCAATCATAGCAAACATATCAGAGTGGTAGACAGAGCCATTGAGACGTTTGCTTTGGTGTAGATTTGGTCGATAGAGAACCCAGGAGATGGCCAAACCATAGTACCCCCCAAAGGCGTGAATGACCATGGAGCCACCAGCATCTCTGCACTGTGGAAATATTAAAAATTCACAGTTGGAGACACAGCAGCACAAAATAGGAATTACAATTTTTGAAGGAAAGTTTTCACTCATCAGGTGATTAATAGACTCACATGAAGGAGGGTGAGGATGATGTATTCCTCCACAGCATACAGTGTGACGCCAAATAAGGCGACAACCATCAACTGGACAGGGCTTACTTTTCCCAGGATTCCACCAAAGGCAATCAAACTTCCAGCAACGCAGAAGTCTGCATTGATCATACTGTGGGGGATGAGGACAAGAGCAAGATTCACATTAGTGGACACTTCATCAAGCAAACAGCAAAGAACAACACACAGATCACCCAAGGCTGGGTAGGGCAAAACTGGCAACATCCCAGACTCCAGGGTTGAGTATACAGTAAATCAACTGGTTTTGTGCTTGAGATCTACAACTAAAAAACAGTATTAACTAAGGCGGGTCATTATTATGACATGGCCTTGTCATGTGGATGAGAGTTCCATAAATCATCTCTGCAACCACACCTAGGTGATGAGAAAAAAAAAAAAACTTTCTTTTCTCCAAAGCGACTTACTTTTCAACTCCGACATAAATTTTTGCAGTGGCGTAGTCGAACGAGTGGAACCAGCCTTGCATGAGAATAGCCCACTGCAGGCCAAAGGCGGCAATCAGGAAGTTGAAGCCAACAGCACCAAAGCTGTAGCGTTTCAGAAAGGTCATGAGGAAGCCAAACCCAACAAAGATCATGACATGGACATCCTGGAAACCTGGAGGGAGTGCGATTAAACACTACGGCTTTACGTGTGAAGGTGTACTGCCATGTATTTACATATTGACATTTGTGGAACGATTACATAACAGCAGGCTTTGACAAACTCTTACATCCTGTATTTTACATTAACATTTAAACTAAACTGCTGCAGAAATTCTTAAGGCCCTTTCACACCAGACGCGAATTTAACGCGCGATTTATTCGCGCGTTAATAATATTTTTCGAACCAATAACTTGTCAATGATACATTGCACACCGCCGACGTAATTTCGCAACCCGAAAAGCGACATTAATTTTTTTTTCGCCTCCGGGTCGATTTTTCCAATTGGTCGCGGCGACGGCAGCACCTCTGACCAATCACAATGCAGCTTGTTGACACGTCAAATTCAACATGGCGGACCAATTAATCCAATTTGTTTCGGTGTGAATACTTTTGGCACTAGATAAAACAGAGAAGACAAAATAGATTTAAAATAAACTAAATGTAATAGTTGAACGACAAAAACAAAGTTACCTTCCTATACTACAATTCATATGGCGAGAAGACAAAATAGATTTAAAATAAACTAAATGTAATAGATGAACGACAAAAACAAAGTTACCTTCCTATACTACAATTCATATGGCGAGAAGACAAAATAGATTTAAAATAAACTAAATGCAATAGATGAACGACAAAAACAAAGTTACCTTCCTATACTACAATTCATATGTTCGGTGTGAAAAGGCCTTTAAGTCATCTATTTGACATCAGTGGGAAAATACCAGAAGTCTGAAGTACAACAATATGCACCACAGCCATCAGCCCTGACTAGTGGTCTATATTTTCTCAATCACACAGGATCATCACATGCACACATGCTATTAAATATATAATCTCTTTTACAGTGTGAATTTCCTTGTAGATTGTCTGTTGTTGTACTTACTGGGATATCTGTAGTAGAAGTCATTCTCGATGTCGCTGGTGATGTTGTGGGCTTTTTTGTGCTCTCCCCAGTGCGCATCTGACTCCTCATTGTACCGGACAAAAACTCCAAACAGGACAATCATAGCAATCTGCCAGACAAAGCAGACAGCCGGTAGACTAATGCGCACATTAGTGTTCTTTTGCGAGCCACAAAAATTTCCCATGGTGATGACTGTTTGTTGATGATGCTCTGATCACTTCTCGCCCAGGTCTCTGCTCAGCTGTGCTTCCCAGCGGCCTTTCATTAGGTATTTATGGAGCTTTGAAGAGGTGTGCCCCAAATCTCCACTCACATACAGGGGGTGTGGACACCTTACCTGATAGCAAGTACCATAAACCACTCCTTACCTGCTGGCCTCTACACCTTCACCCAGACCAAGCTATAGCTGGCAACATTCCTCCCAGAACAGGTATCGCAAGAAGAAATCAAGTAATCACTGCCCAAACATGTGATGGAAATGCAACTATCATATGGTGTCTTTTTTGTGATGTAACAACTTCTGCTCATTACTGAAAAATGTTCACATGTAGTCAGCACAATCAGAGCAGATATAAATAGATATTCAGCTACAGAACACCTGCAGTGGTGGAAAAAACTAAGTCCATTATTAAATTATTTTTCTTCTTTTTCTGGTACTTTATACATAAACATTTTGAATGCAGGAGTATTTTTACATTGTGGTATTATTGCTTTTACTGTACTTAAGTAACTGGGGAACACCTGCAGTTGCAGGTGAGATAACTTGCTGCGATGTCATGTCTGTTAGCTGGGTCGTGTGTTGGAAAGGAATTCTGACATACAGCTATTCTTGCATGAGCTCACTTGTCTGTGCTTGATCAATTGCCTCATACCCACTGCTGCCTGGAAACAAGTCACTGAAAATAATTATCAGCATGACCCAACATATGTGATGAGCCAGTAGGAACAAATCTGTATGAATTAGTACAGTGATGGGTCTGTCTCTCACACATTGTCCTCCCCTACACATTGTCCTCCCCTTGCAAATCATGTGCACCTCATGATCTGGATGTTTTTCAGTATCAATTATCTAACAAAAGAGATTCCAGTTTAAAGATCCATCATGTGTTGGGCTGGGGCTGTAAGAACATTCCAGATGTTATCTGCCGCCTTCAAGTCGTTATGCAACACATTAATTATAACTGAAAAGATTCTAATGTCACAGGGTGTGCTTAGCAATCAAACTATTTATGATATTCATTACGACAAATGTTTCATTGTAATGTTTATTCTAATTGGACATATTTCCCCAGCATCACATGCAGCAGGTCACAAGGCAAGTTTTCCCAAGCCAACAATAATTGGTCTGCAAAGACATACACACCAGTATGAAACAGGTTCAAGATTTTTGTGAAACATAATCCATGAATTTTGTGCAGATGATAGACTTATATTTATTGATTCATCACTCCAAAGTATGACACTGGGTTGGGCTGGTTAGAAGACATTTGTTGCAAACCTTTTCTATGCATTTGTTATTATAGGACAGCCTGAGCTCATTGCCTGTGTTGTCAGGATGTTTGCATTGTATTAACTTGTCTTAGGTGTTTTAACTGCACAAGAGTATTTATATCTTACCCAAAGCAAATTAACTAAATCAAATCAAAGCACTGAACCTACAATTAGTTTCATTTTAAATCCTTTTTTTAAACAAACTCTATTAAGACTTGGATGTCTTTTATTAAGAGAGTCCTTTGTACAAGAAATACAGTTCACAGACATGCACATTAAAAAAAAGGCTGTTACATGTGGAATCGTAAAGTGAAATGAAAGATTTTAGTTTGAAAGGTTTTGTAGTTTTAACCTTCAGATTGCTTGTCAGATGTTCATCTTGTCAGTTGCGTACAGCAGTGATGGGTAAACAAGTCTGAAAGTGACATTCATGCTGAATAAAATGAGATTTAACTGAATATAAAGAGTCACTGTAACTTTTACTAAACAACTATGACAGTGGCTACAAGTGACAACTGCAGAATATTGGTAAATACTAAAACCTAAAACAATGGTAATACAAACAGTCATCTAGTCAGTAATACACAGGGATAAAGATATACAACAATATCCATCTAAAGCAGTGCAGTGGTGTTTTCCTTGGAGACATGTAGTACATAGAGAGAGTCTGGACATTGGACACTGGACATTTTTTGAGTGAGGACCAAGAGAAACAGTATGTTTATATGCAGACAGTTTAAAATAGTAGGTCTGCTATTTCACATGTGCACATCTAATGTTGACAGCGTCACAACCTCAATGGGAACCACAGTCTAATCTCTTCATCTTGTGAGCCCTTAAAACAAAGCAATATCTACTCGATATTGCTTTTATTTTTATTTATCTACTTGCAGCTACAAACATTTGCCAAAAGTCAGTCCAAAGGCTGAATCACTTTTAGAGTTGAAAAAGGAAAAAAATGTAAAAAATAAAATTAAATAAAAATAGAGTAAAGTCTAAAACAAAGCAAAACTTTGTGCATAAGAAATATGTGCTTATTATTTCTTCTTCACTTAATTATCTTCTATCCCCTCAGATTTATCTATGGACCCATTTTGGGACCCCACAGATGTATAGCAAGCTAATATTAGCCTCCAAGAGGCACCGGTGGTCAAAAGGCTGTCCAAGCAAGGTGTGTGTATTACAGTATGGTTTATTTTGTTGTTGAGCAGTGTACATATTTTGTTTAATCGTTGTTTTATTACATATCATGCCATAAAGGAAAACTAGTTCATCATTAAATATCAATGAAAAAATAATATTAGTGACAATATTAGTGATTTTACACCATCTTAAAGTTTCTGATACATGAGTTTTAAAATATACAAACTGGAATAAACTGAAACTGCAGAAAACACTGCAAGGAATTAACACAGTTTTCTCCAAAACATCATAGAAAGTTGGCTTTTAGGGAAGAAATTGCACAACAGTTGGCATGAATAACTGGCCAAACAATGAAGAATCATTCAATTTCATCGAAGCACAGAGTATTAACTTAAACTATTTCAAGTGTGACCGCGTGACAGCACGGAGGTTTTAGATGTTATCCAGCAGAAGCATTCCAGCAATGTTCTCTGTGGTATTGTGTCATATGCTCTGCCTTGGCCACACACAGCTCTGGAATGATGCCACTGGAGATATTATGAGCTCCTGTCAATCTGCAAGCCAGTGAGACGTGTATTAGTGCACTGCAGCTATTCAGGCAACAAAGCTTTTCTTCTAACTTTGTTTAGGCATTGTGTCTTAAATTACTTTGTTTGTGGTATCCACAGAAACCACAAAAGGCAAAAAAGTTCAAGTGATGCACAAACACCGTCTTACTGCATTACCTTTAACTGAATGTGTCTATACACATTGCTCATAACAGGTTTTTGCACATTATGTGAACAATTTTAGTCACTTTGTCATAAATATCTAGACATCTAGACACAGAAGCTGCTTACCTCTCTGAAAACTACTTTCACTCATCAAATGGCATCAAATAATTGTTTCCTTCTCATATGATACAAAGCCTGTTTTCTTTGGAGCACCCTATTCATCTTAGGTACAACATGAATTGCTATTAAATTATGCTTGACAGGTGAATGGCAAGCCCATCATGTGAAACTGTTCTTTGAGCTTTTCAAATAATTGCTTTGTAAGGATACACTGTATTAAAGAAATAAAATGCCACTCACTCATTTTTGTTCTTTTATTCAAGCCGCCTGGAACAGCCTGAGGGGGTGCAACCAACCAGATCAGTGTTTCCTGGAACTGAGCTGTGCATAGTAGTGCATACTGTTAGATGCCAGAGATATGATAGTGTCAGGCAGTCGTCTGTCTCTACTTGTTATCTGATGCTTATATAACCCTCAGCTACAGCTTTAAGACCTGCAAGAACAGAATGTTTACTTTTTCTCTCACATGACCCATCATATGACTCCAGGTTCACACAAATGCAAACTTATGTGGAGGTGCCAGCGAACCTCATGTGACCCCAGGTGACATTACTGCACTGGTGGTGTCATAGCCATAGCAGCTTCAACTTTCCTATGATCCACCATTAATGTGTTTAAAAAAAAAAAAAAAAAAAAAAACAGTCCTTAGAGTCAGTTGTCACCACTCTCCCTCTTGATCTGCTCTGGGAAAGGTCAGATTTAAAGTCAGAACTCAAATACATTTTCATAGTGGCCCTAATCCTTTTCCATAGGTTTTAAACCAACAAACCTAATTAAATTATATGGTAACAGGAGCTCTGAGGCTCCTGCAAACAGCAGAAGGAGACTGGATCATAACAGCCTGACAATCAGAGCTCCTGTTGCTGCTCTTTTGAACCTCTCACAGTTTCAGCTATGAGGTATTTTAGGGTCCCAGTATCAGTGCAACAGCCATTTTGAATTTTTCAGCAGTATAACACACAACAATACAGTCGCTCCTTACCTTTCTCAGTTGTTTGCAGGTAGCCTTAACAAGGTGTATATAAGTGGCCATAGCTGGATATTGCTTTTATCACAAGAATCCAGTGAACAAAATTCAGGCAACCACTTGTCCAAGAAACATACTTTCATGGAGAAAAAGTCCAAAACTTGGAGCGGTTTTTTCAGTTTCCTTTCATTACTGTTTTAATCATATATTTATTCACTGCTAATGTTAACCAAAGCAATGCCGTATTCTGGTTTACTGGGCTTCACTGTAATCAAATTGCCCCATTTACACTCCTGCAGCTCTCACATTGGTCAGAAAGAATGTTTATCAATTTAATCACCCAACCAGCTCAGTGAGTGACAACTTAACTTCTTCTCAGTGATGCTCTGGCCAGTCATGGGCTTTGGCAGAATACCTGACAAGCTGAGTAGCCAAAGACATTACAAGTTCTTAGAAGTATAGGGAAATTCTGTTAGAATGTATGCACCTAGGTCATCTAAGTCTACAACTCCTACCCTGGGTGGAAGTGATATATTGTCATTCATTAGAAGGCTACAGAGTAAATAGTATGTAAATAATCTTCAGTTTAATTATATTTGTAAAATAACTACTTTTAATGAGTAATTTACTTTGTTATATTCATTTGTTCAAAATGTAACTAAATATTTGTTGTCAGAAATGGAGGAAAACCTCACAGACAATGTAAAAAGCTCGTATTTAATGCTATTATCAATTACTTTGACAAAGAAGTGGTTCAGTTAAGTATATGTTACTCGAGTGTTAATCACTCAATATCTAATGCTACAGGCCCTTGTAGATGATTTTAAAAAAGTAGGTGAACAAAATTCAAATTCAGGCAACATTTGTCCAAGAAACATAACGTCATGGAGAATTGGAATTCACTTTTTCAAGTTTGTAACTTAGATTCAGGACAGCTCATTGCTTTCTTGGTTGTAAAATGTATAGATCTACCTTTCAATAAGGGATTGCATGGAGGTTATGTAAAGAGAAAGAGAGCCGACAAATTAAAGCTATAATGAAACTGAAAATGTTAAAGCCAGAAACAATGGTATGGCATGAGAAGAAATGTACAAAAACACTAAGTAAAAAGTAAAACTACATATACACAAACTACACATATAAAATTTATATATACACATTAACATTTTCCACTGAATTATTGCAGTGGCACACTCCAGACTCCATAAATAAAATAAACAAATACATTTAATAAATAAATAAAACATTCTATAACCCTATTCAATAATTCCCATACAGCCTCAGAGTTTTACAATTAGTGTCATAAAATGGGCAAACGTTTGCTGCACATTTGCACAATTAAGGGATTAATAAAATAAAGCCCTCAAGAGTCTAGGAACAGTAGCAAAGGTAATACTTATAGAATATTAATCAATAAATAATTGTTTCTTCTTCTTCCACTTTTACTGTACCTTCCCAGTGTGGTCCCTGTGGGAGCCCTGAACAGAGTCATTGTGTTTTTGTGTTGAACATGTGTTTGAAATAAACACACAGATGACTTCGATATCACATGCCGTTTCTAAACCCATGCAGAAAAACTGCCTCCTGTAGCAAATGTTGGAAAAAGATAAAAGACACCGAGTTGACCAAAAGAGTCCCTAGGGTTCAATGAGGCAAATTATTTCTTGGTTAAATAAAGTAAATTATCCAAGTTGGCAAAAGTATAATAGGAGTACAAATAATGTACTTCAGTAATGTCTGACTAATGCATGGCTCGTAATGATTTAATGCATGAATTACTGCAGTCAACAGATCAAGTCACTATTTCCTCGCAGAAACAAGTGACCTTAAATTTTTTAGCTGAAATGCCAGTTTGCGTGAGCGTGGGAAAAGTGTTGAGGATTGGAGTTGTACACTACAGGTTACAGAACAACATAAGACAACCAAAAAAACAACTTCATGTTCAACCAAGGTGAACACGGTTGCTCCCTTCCACAAAGTCAGTGATGCAGTGATACTGTTTGTTTTAAAGTGTAAAGTTCATCAGACTTCCGTGTTGTAATCAGTGGACGGAATCTTCACACTAGATTAACCGATGAATGACTCAAACAAACATGCAAGTTCACTTCTGTTGGTTCTGGTTCTGCATCCTGCCTGTCACTGGCTGACCTCTGGGTTATGTAATAGAGGAGAAAGAAGAAAATATTTGTCATCGATGTACTTTTTAAACTTCTAATTTTAAAAATAATGTATTTTATTTTTAATTATGTTGTTTTTATCAGAAGTAACGATTAGACCTGGGTCACCTGTTCTCTGATTTGTCAAACTGCACCTGCTAAATGATTATGGTAGGTAGTGGCTAATCTAGTGGCAGTAACTGTAAATTAGCATTGTTAACTGATGATCTATTAGATATAAACTACTCACAGAAAGCTACAGCGACCTGATGATTTGTTTATGGTTAGGAACATAAAGTTCTGATGCATCTTGTTAACCTTGAGTATGAGCAATGTAATTGCTGATGTTGCAATGTTAGGTATGTTGTCGTGCGTTAGCACTCTGAGTCTCTGCACCATGAGCGAGTATATTTTTTGTTCATGGTGCTTCTGGCTCATAGTTGGATTAGCTTAATTGAGAGCCTGTCAGTGTACATGACAGCCATCAAATGATGCTCTATTCTTAAAGTTAATCGTTGCTTGTTGATTTACTGTCATATTATTGGATGACAAAAAGCTAAGAGACACATTAATCTCCTGCCTCCAGTTTGCCTGGGGACACAGAGTTCACTTTTTTTCAGAATTCTGACTTTAACTTGAGAAATCTGACTTTTTAAAAAAGTCAGAATTCTAAGTTTAAAGTCAGAATTCTAAAAAAAAAAAAAAAGTACAGTGACTCTAATCCCCTTTTGTGGACTTCAGATTTGCATGCTGCAACTTATGCACATCTCTTTCAGTTTCTAAACACCATTTAAAGTACATTGCTGGTACATACATATTAACATTGCATTCTGAGATTTAAAAAATGAACAGGTAAGTAAAATAAAATGTTTAAGTGACAATCCAAAATAACACAAATTAAAAATGAAATACGCTTTAATTACTTTTCTAATTAAATAATTAATTGGTCAACTGTCGAACTACAGCATGTACACAATTATTAGGCAAGTTGTGTTTTTGAGGATTAATTTTGTTATTGCACAACTACAGTGCTCTTGGTCAATCCAAAATGTTAACAAACCCTCAAACCTGAACATTTAAGCAGTAAAAGTGAAGTTTTGGCTTTCTACCATTATTAGGCAACTATTAGTGTGCAGAATTATCATGCAACTAAATAAAAAAAGTTTTTCCCATCTCACTTATTTATTTTCACCTGTTAAAGTGAGAATAATAAACAAACTCATAATTTACAAATAAAGAGTTCTGAAAATCCAAACAGAAAACCTCAGTGACCAATATAACCACCCTTCTTTTCGATAACAGTCACAAGCCTTCCATTCACAGAGTCAGTCAGTTTTTTGATCTGGTCAGAATCAACTTTTTGTGCAGCCGCAACCACAGCCTCCCAGAGACTGTTCAGAGAGGTGTACTGTTTACCTTCACTGTAAATTTCCTGCTTAAGAAGGGCCCAAAGGTTCTCAATAGGGTTTAAGTCAGGTGAAGAAGGGGGCCATGTCATTAGTTTTTCATCTTTAAGGCCTTTACTGGCCAGCCACGCAGTGGAGTACTTTGATGCATGTGATGGAGCGTTGTCTTGCATAAAAATCAAAGTCTTCTTGAAAGATGCAGACTTTTTCCTGTACCACTGCTTGAAGAAAGTTTCGTTACTGATCCAACCACGGGCCCATCCATCTGGTCCGTCAAGAGTCACTCTCATCTCATCAGTCCACAAAACCTTTGAAAAATCTGTCTTCAGATATTTCTTGGCCCATTCTTGACGTTTCAACTTATGTGTCTTGTTCAGAGGTGGTCGGGTTTCAGCCTTTCTTACCTTGGCCATGTCTCTGAGAACTGAACACCTTGTACTTCTTGACACTCCAGGTAGGTTGCAGTTGTGGAATATGGCAGCACTGGAGGATAATGGATTCCTGGTAGCTTCATATTTGATTCTTCTCAAATCTCTGGTGGTTAATTTGCGTCTTTTCTTCTCAACACGTTTCTGGCGACCCTGGTGACTATTTGCTATAAAATGTTTGATGGTTTTGTGATCACGCCCCAATATCTTAGATATTTCAAGAGTGCTGCATCCCTGTGAAAGGCTTTTTACAATTTTTGACTTTTCAGAGTCAGTTAAATCTCTTTTTTGGCCCATTTTTCCAGAGGAGAACATTCTGCCTAATAATTATGCACACCTTGATATAGGGTGTTGATCTCCTTAGGCCACACCCTCCCTCGTTACACTAAAACACATCACCTGATATGCATTAAGTCCAATAAGCGTTCAAGTTTATACTGCTTGGAGCTGGAAATTATGGATAAAATGATGATATGGTCAAAATACTCACTTGCCTAATAATTGTGCAGTGTAGCAAGAACCAGATGACCTGAAATTGTTTTCTAGGTAGAAAGCGGGACAGTACCTACTTCTCTAAACAGTGTCGCTGATTCATGTTTTGTTACCTTGGAAACAAATAAAGACAAATGCAGGGATCATGAGACATCCCTGTGACAACCAAAAGCTGTGGAACATGCTTGACCGGTGGAGTGGTTTCAAATAGAGATGTCTTTTCAAAAAGCTTAAAGAGGCAAACCACACATAACAGTCATACCTTCACCGACGTGAGTGCCACACCTTCATCAATGAGGATGGTTTTAAAAGACAATGAGTCTAGATTAATGCTACTCTGGGCGTGTGTCTCACATATCACCCGTAGATCATGTGGAGAAGTTTGATTTCTACTTTCTTTTCTGTTCTCACGAAACACTCAAATATGAATAGGATTATTTGTGCTAATCAAACAATCATAGACTTTCTTGCAACGTATGTTAAAAGACAAGCAATGTGACTCCAGCTTAATGGCCTCTGATGTACACCAAACAAAACAGAAAAAAAGAGATTCTGATCCATATTAAATGAGGCTTAGAGAACAGAAACTGCACATCATTTCAAGAACAACTACAATAAACCCCCAGTGCAGCTCAAACTGAGCCAGGGATTTAATCATGCACTAGCATCTGTGGCAGCTTGCAGAGTTGTGTGATAATTCAGTAGAACCACTCCGTGGCATTACACACCCACACTGCTGTAGTGATGGCTAAACAAGGCTTTTTTTTTTAAGCAATGGGGCATTGCAGCCAATTGAACTGCCAAAAGATTTGTTAATCAAAGCCTCATTTAACAGTGTTCACTACTGACACACACTGGTAAACACATCGGGGGCACTGCGCTGCAGTAAAATTCCCTGTATTTCTGATAATACTTGGCAATAAAAGTTTATGCTTATGCTTACTTATAAGCAGTACATCTCTTTGTACTTTTCATAAATTGTATTATCAGTGTGGGCATTATTTTGGTTAATAAATTAGCTGCATGGCTTGATAGACAAGTGTTTACATATGACCAGCGACAGAATGTTTATGAGAAGTGCAAGGTGAGAAAGGAGCACTTTTATTGATTTTTATTAAGAAATGAAGCTCTCTCTCCACTGTGTTTGGGCTTTTTAAAAAGTATTCCTCCCCTGCCTTGGTGAAAATTCTTACAGGGACACCAGAAGCTGGTGTACAAAACAAAAAGAAAAAGAAAAGCATTTGAGTTGATTGTGGTTTTTATTAGGGGGACAAGGACACAAACAGGGCAGGAAAGGAAGAAACAAGAACGCAGCCATTACTTGGCCCACTGATATTTTATGAGTCCACAGAACTATACTTCCAAGTTCATTTCCATAACAAAAGAAGTGCAAAAAATAAATATTAGACAACACATGCACTGTATCTTTTCTGAAGAAAAAAAATGCAAACCAACAAATGGCCAATCAACCTGACTGGGATAAAAAATCTACATGTCCAGTCAACAGGTTTCTATTAAGTAATTTTGTCATATAAGGCACTGAGTTCAGCTCGGAGTTTCTTGAAAGACGGCCTGTTTCTGGCTTCGTACTGCCAACAGCTGGTCATAATCCTGGCAATTTCCACAGGGCATCCGTGAGGAGCAGGCATACGGTATCCTGAAACATATCACATAGTACACTATACCCATTTCCTGAAACATAAAATCCCATCATTCCAGTCCCCATAAAACCCCACATCAATGGACTGAGTGACTACAGACCTGTTGCCTGACATCTGTAGTCATGAAGTATTTTGATAGACTGTCGGCCCACCTGAAGGCCATCACAGACCCCCTGCTGGACCCTCTACAATTTACCTACTGGGCAAACAGGTCAGTGGATGATGCAGTCAACATGGCACTGCATTACATCCTCTTTGTGGACTTCAGTTCAGTGTTCAACACCACCATCCCAGACATCCTCCACTCTAAACTGACCTAGCTTACTGTGCCTGCCCCCACCTGTTAGTGGACAAACAGGAAGCAGCAGGTGAGGCTGCAGAAAACCACATCCAGCACCCGGTAATCAGCATTGGTGCACCCCAGGGATGTGTGCACCTCAGGAGACCCCTCTCTTAAACTCCTAAAGTTCGCAGATGATACAACGGCCATTGGTTTCAACTGAGACAGTGATGAATCTGTGTACAGACAGGAGGTTAAACAGCTGGTCCTGTGGTGTGGTTGCAACAACCTGAAGCTGAACATGCTCAAAACAGTGGAGATGACAGTGGACTTTAGAAAGAACCTCCCCCACCCTATTCTCCATACTCAGCCACACTGTATCGGTAGCAGAGTCCTTCATGTTCCTGGGCTTCACTAACTCCCAGGAAACTGAAGTGGACATCCAACATCAGCGCCATCACCAGGAAGGCACAGCAGAGGATGCATTTCCTGTGTCAGCTCAGATAGTTCAACCTGCCCCAGGAGCTGTTGATACAGTTCTACAGAGGAATCATCGAGTGTGTTCTCTGCTCATCCATCACCGTCTGGTTTGGCTCAGCTGCCAAATAGGACAGGAAGAGACTCCAGCAGACAGTCAGGTCTGCAGAAAGAATCATTGGTGTCAGTCTGCCCTCCATGGAGGACCTGTACACCTCACGGGTCAAAAAAAAGGGCAGGGAAGATTTCTGCAGACCCCTCAGACCCTGGACACAAACTGATTGAACTCCTCCCCTCTACAGGTCACTGTACACCAAGACAACCGGGCACAAGGACAGTTTCCTCCCCTGTGCCATCACACTGATAAACACTTAATCTATGACTATACAACAGAAAGACAACCCTCAGTGCATTCATTCATTCATTTCATTCATCTACTATACCGCTCAGTCCCAAACGGGGTTGCGGGGGGCGCTGGAGCCAATCCCAGCCAGCACCCTCAGTGCAATACCTTGTAAATATACCTTCATAAATATCTAAAACTGTGTGTATGTACTATATTTATAAATTCTTTATTATTATTTTCCTAATGCACATTTCTTTTTCTTGCTTACTCACTCTTTTACTTTTCTTGTTCTCTCACTCTTATCTTGCTTATCTGTCTACTCATTGCTTTACAGCAGAGCATTGTACATACACATTGAGAGCCACTGTACCACGGTCAAATTCCTAATGTGGCCAACACACCTGACCAATAAAGATGATTCTGTTTCTGAAAAAGGCACCAGTGGAGCAGACGCTTTCCTCAGTAGCATTTGAACACAAACAAAGTGTCTGGTGTGGGTCTTTACCTCTTTCCACCTCCTCTCGTGTCTGTTGGTTGGTCATGCTTGTGTAGGGCGTCATTCCCATGGAGAAAGCTTCCCATAGTAAAACACCAAAGCTCCAGACATCACTCTCTGTGGTAAACCGACCTGAAAGCACCAGCAGGGGGCAGCGTTGGCAAAGGCACAGACAGGTTTTTGTCACTTTTTGTCAGAGATGTACAGTATATCAGGGACCTGCAGGCAGAAGCAGGCCTACCATAGTTCAGGGCTTCAGGAGCCGTCCATTTGACAGGGACCTGTTTGAGGCCTCCCTCTGCAGAGTAGACACCGTCATCTTGCTGACGGGACATCCCAAAGTCACTGATCTTCACCACATTGTTCTCTGCAACCAGACAGTTTCTCGCTGCCAGGTCCCTTGAGAGACGAGGGAGAAAGATATAAGGGATATGTATACAAAGGCTGATTAAAATACATACAAAAGAGACACAAAACACCATGCTCTGCATGAAAAAAAGAGAAAGCATGAGAACAAACAGCACTAAAGGGAATGAGAGAACAGGCGCTCTTGTCATGTGTGACACAGTGTTACAGGCTGAGCAGCTCCCAGCAGCTTGCTCTGATCTGTCCCCACTGGGCAAATCATACAATGCTTCTGTAATAAACCAGGTGTCACAGCCTCCTGTCTTCTCAGCCTCATCCTAAGCTCCCCTGTCACTCTCACGCAACAACAAATGCCCTGAAACACAATAGCAACCATGCATACAATTCCCTCTCAGGTTGCATTTACAGTATATTCCACAAAAAATAGATGCTTAGTTATTAATTTATGTTTAGAGGCTATTTACAAAACCCCAAGTTTGATGTTTCCCATGAACAGTACCTGTGTGTTTGAGATCCAGCCTTTACAGGCTTTGATGTGTAGCTACAATAAGGCCTATGAGCCAGTTTTCTTCTTGGTTAGCAAAACATGTGAAAAAGAATATGCCACATCTGGTTCAGCATCTTTGCACAGACTCTGTCTCCTTTACGGTACATTTTACCACATGTACAGCAGTGTGCTAGCACTGTGCAGCAGCGACATCCCCAGCCCAGAGTAAATAAGGGGCACAGCCAAAGTTAGTTGAGTACTACAGCGTTAAATCTACCAACAGTTAGGACAAAGAAACACAGAAATCCAGCCTTTTCTTGTTAGTGACCAAACCTCTGTAATAACTGTCCATTCATATCTGTTATATCTGTGAATCTTCCTTCCTTTCCATGGCCTGTTTGGTATTTAAACATTCACAGCTTTGTTTGTTTCATTGGTTTTAAATTCTACTTTTATTTTATTTTAAAGTGTTTCTTTGATATTTTTTTTATTTCTTAAATATTTTAAATGAAAGGTGCTGCACAAATAAAGGGTTTAGTAGAGAAATTAGCATTTAATAAACAGGTAACATTAATTATGCATGTATATGTACAGTACTTAAGTTTGTGGTTGCACTTTATGACTTCAGCAGCACATGCAAGAGCTTTTATGCAGAATATCTCACTTCTTAAAAAAAGAAGAAAGAAAACGAGCTTTAAGCACGCCCACTGCAGCTCGCCGAACATGCTGCTAGTCTGGGAGAGCTACAGTTTTCCAGGAAACTTAGCTTCTGTTCATTTTGAGTCTGAATGAACTTATTGTATGTTGATCCCTCATTTTTAATGTTACATCAATGCATGTGGAAGTGGCTTCTGAGAATGTGCACTTTGGTTAACAATTAGGTGAAGTGAGCACTGAGGAAGTGAGTGATGCTTTTATTGTGTGTGAGAATGAATCAGTTTGAAAATCCATGTGCCTGCAGCTTCTGGGAACTAATTATACTGTGAATAAAATGGAGATGTTATGCACCTAATTAATGTTCACTGGAACTCTCATTTGTCTGACACGCTGCTGCATTTCATAAAGTTTCCTGTGTGTTAAATTCATCATGGCCCACACAGTTTGGAGAATTCTTGGCATAGTTTACTTAGTCTCCCAATCCACAGATGTTTCTTTGTATTTATTTTGTATGTTATGTTATATACACTGTATTTGTTACTTCCTATGTAGTGTATTTGTATTAGTGTTCATTATCAAGAAGCTGAGAATATTGTACATTTTCAGTATGAAACATTGTGTTAGTTCAAATGGAGCACTACAATTGCATTTCCATTAGCTTATTGGCATCAGCTGTTTCATTCATGCTTCACGAATAGCCGCTCATTCTTAAGATGTTTGGCTCCCAGCAATATCCCGTCATATTGATGAAGGTGTGTGACTTGATCATTATAACATCAAACTTGATTATTTCTTAATCAGAACTGTAGTCCCTGGGTCACAATTTGTTGAAAATCCCTGCTTTATTGTATCACTTTAATATTATAGCTGGTAAAGATGGGACTAATTTGAATTACTTTATACTGTATAGTGCTGGGTAGTTTAATCATTATACTGTATCATAATTATGTTGTGTAGTTGTATTTTGTTTTACTAAGTTAAAGTTAATTGCAACTAAAGCCTTAAAATAAAAGTAGTACAATGTTTGCCTCCAAAAGACACTGTAGTGTAGTAAAAGTATAAAGTACCATATAAAAAGTTTTACTTAAGGAAAGTACAAGGCCTCAAAATTGTAATTAAGTACAGTACTTATGAAGGGGGCTGGCTGACCAACCTGTGGATACACTTCTTGCTCTCCAGGTACATCATGCCAGCTGCTACGTTTTCTGTCATTTTGATCAACATCTTAGGCTTCAGACTGTGACCCTCATGCCGCAGGAACGAGAGAAAATCACCGCCTTATGAAATGCGCGCACGCGCACACACACACACACACACACACACATACAGTAAAGAGTGATGATGGAGGAACAAAGTGGGAAAGCAATAATGGTCCAATAAATCTTGAAACTCCTGGGTAAACAAGGGTGGTGTCCAACAGGAACATGTTTACCTTGAATGAGCTCCATGATGATGTAGATAGGCTGTTTCTGTGTGCACACTCCTATCAGCCTCACAATGTTAGGATGGTCATACTGCTTCAGGATCCTGGATAGAAGAGGAGAGGAGTACAGAGAGGTGTGTGTGTGTGTGTGTGTGTGTGCGTATGTGTGTGTGTGTGTTTGTGTTTGTGTGAACACTAACCTGGCTTCCATCAGGAACTTACTCTTCTGCTCTGGGGCCAGGTTCTCTTTACATAATTTCACAGCTACAGGAGTGTTGTCAGAGGATAAACGACCACTGTACACCTCCCCAAAGTTTCCCTGTAACATACAAACACCAACATGTTACTGTTCTTTAAGCTTTCTTTACTAACTCTGGATACGAGTGTACAGTACATGTAACTCAGTGCCAAATCATTCAAGTTATGACAGTGCCACGTCTGGTTTTCTGTATAGGTAACAATTTTTTTTAACTGTTAGGTCATAAATGTTATTGGCTGTTGTTCCTACAGTTCCTCCTTCAGTATTGACAGACTGGCCACATAGAGATCCCCACCCAAGGCAATGTAAGTGATGGATGATAATATCTGTTTCCACAGTGTAAAAAGGATTTCTAAAATTCAGCTGAAGCTAATATGAGACTTCAAAAGTTTACACAAACCAAGTGGGTTATTCCCACAGTTAGAGATGTTTGAGTTTCAAAATTCCCTCTGTGTTTTCTAGGGTGGTGTTTGGCTGCTGCGGCACAACAGAGAGACGGTAAGTGAAAGTGGAAATTTTGGAACAGTAACTCTGGAAAATACACTCTTTAATTCAGATTGCTGACACTGCAGTTTAACTTTGGCTGAAATTTGGAATATATTTTTGTTGAAAACAAAATATAATTTACACTGAAATCACTTTAAGATGAAATTTCTTGCAGACAGTAAGAAGAGCAGCACTATGCATGTACAGTATGCATTAATTTAAGACAGACTTGAAAAACTGTCAACCTAACCCTTTAACTGGCAATAATGATGGTTTATTATGACTGATAATGCTGTGTCTGTTTATAATAAAAAACAAACAGTAAATTAGTGAATGAGTGTGACTCATTGCTCCAACAGTTCATCTTCATTACAAATATGTTCTCAACATTTGGAGATGTCTGTTCCAGAGACAGACAAACACACACATACAGTATTTGTGACTAACTTTGATATTTGTCATCATAAAAATCAGTGAATAAAAGAAAATGTTGCTTTTGCTCGCTTCATTTCTACATTCATGTCAGCAGGGGTCAGGTGTACCCACCCGTCCAATGAGATGCCCCAAGATAATGTCATCATGATCCAGGACCCACTTGTCCTAAAGGAGTTAGAGGACAGACGTATTAATCCACATTAATGAAAACTATATTACTTATCATGAGCCTTCATCATTTACAAAAACATATTGCACATTCATCATAAGCCTACATCATGTAAAAACTCTAAATAATGCAGATTCATATTGCACAAATAGGCACATTCATCATGAGCCATATTGCACACACTGCACATACATACACATATTTCACACACTTTTCACAAGACACTCAAATGAAACAGTAACAGAACTGTGCATGTTAAATAATGTGTATTCATACGACATCAATATAATTTTCCACTTCTGACTGTTGCAATATATTGCGGCACAAAGGAGAGGAAACAGCCTTCAGTTTAACAGGCAGAGGGATCTTAGTCTACTGCTGTCATATTAGAACTGACCTGGAATGAATTTAACTTCCTCAAACAGGAAACAAAGAGGGTTCAGTTTTCTCATAATGAAACTTGAGTTTAATCTATGATAAAAAAATATCACACCAGGATAACGGCACTATTCAGCTTGTTCACACACATCCCTGTTAATCATCATGGGATCAGACTGAAATAATTACCAACTACTGTGGCTGAAACTGAACCACAACTGACACATAATAGTGTCATAGGAAAGTAACTGGAAGAAATTTTTAATCAAAGAACATTAAGGCAATTTTATGTTTGCATGCATGTTCTTCTGTGACAACTACAGAAGTACTTTCATGAACTGCATGTTCAAGTTGTGTGTCGAAGCTCTTGGATATGACTCTGGAATAATGTGTTATCAACTACAGAATTCACACACAGACAAGAGGAATGGGCAGGCATTTTTAGGGACTGTGTACCTTCAGTACAGGTTTCTTCAGCACTACGTCACACCTCTTGGTGATGTGTTGGCGTGAGGATAGTAGATGTTGAATTAGCTGTGGGATACTGTGGAAGCCTTCTCCATCCAGACGGTACATATTCTACTGACACATAGAAAACGAGTCAGGAAAACTTCCCAACATAATGAAAAAAGTTCAGAAAATAACTCAAATAGAAAACAGACATAATTTTCATGCTTTCATAACTTCCTCATAAAAAAAAGAGAAGCAAACATTACATCAATTTTTTTTTTGCAGCATCATTGCTTTAGATAATCAAAACGTGCAAATATAGAGCAACTATGAAATGCACAGAAGAAAACAGGAACCACATGAAGTAAAATGAATTTCTACAACTCTATTCTCCACAAGAACTTTTTGTTTCATTAAAGCTACAGTATGTAACTTTTTCAAATAGTTTTGTTGTAGAAATCTGCGACAGGACTTGTCTTAATGAACAAACAGTACGGAGGCTTAAGGAGGAATTAATGGGGCAGGAATGGGAAGCAGTATATAGAGAGGAAGATTTAGATAAAGCATATGAACAATTTTTACATATATTTCAGGAAGTATATGACAGGACCTGCCCACGTAAGCAGTATAAAAACAAAAGGAATTACAGTGAGAAACCATGGAT